AGGACCATTGTCATCAGAAAATGTCTAAAATCTGCGCTTGCCATTGACCTTTTGACCTGTGACCTCAATCTTCGGCCGCAGTGATGCTTTTCCTACCATGATTGCTCATACACCGACCTATCACGAGCCTAGGTCGAGCCGTTTAGATTTTGTGCCGCAATTCTGCATTTCCTCCGTATACCTTACCTCTAAAAATTAAGGAGGAATGCTTCCCCCTTCTTATACACTTCTTGACTTTGACTTTGACCCCAGCTTTCGGATCTAGCCCACTCGTTTTTGACGATCCCCCCAACGACCGAATACGCTGACCGTACGTCGTAGTGCGTTAAGATTCTGTGCCCAACTGGTTGACGGACGACCGGACGACCGGACGGACGGACGGACGGATGGATGGACGGACGATCAAGCGATTCTACAAGCTGCATCTGACTATGTCAGATGAGCTAAAAATTAAAAGAACCTTAGATAGGAATTTAATTTAAATTAATGAAAAAGAAGAATGCCTGGTTTTTATGATTTTATTCATTTATATTCAGTCATCAAAATTTGGTCATGCACATGCACTGCACAGGTACAGCCTCAGTAATACTAATAAAGAGCTATATAAATTTTGATTGTAAAATATAAAGGAATAATGTCATAAAAACCTTGTTATATGACCTTGTTATATGACCTTGTTATGTGGTATATGTCATCAGTCCTTGCTTGTCATAACGATGTCATTTTCAATTTCCTTCTGTTTCAGGAGACAGTTGGGTGTGTAAGACAATACTGCAAGACAATCATCAGCGCACAGTCAGGTCAACTGCTTGGTCACCCTGTGGAAATCTTCTTGCTACTGTCAGTTTTGATGCAACAGTTGGGATCTGGGATAGACGTAGTGGAGAGTTCGAGTGCAATGCAACCTTAGAAGGACACGAGAATGAGGTGCTCATTGAAATTTAACACTGCACAGTATGCTACATAGTTAGCAATATTGTTGCTCATCACCCAACCAGATTATGCACTTAACATACTGTTTACAACTGTGTTCCTTCTTTGTCTATAGCCCAAATCCATTTTGCAGGTTAAGAGTGTTGCATGGGCACCATCTGGAAAACTGCTAGCAACTTGTGGTCGAGACAAGACAGTGTGGATCTGGGAGATTTCTGAGGAAGATGAGTTTGAGTGTGCTAGCGTACTTCATGCTCACACACAAGATGTGAAGAAAGTGCTGTGGCATCCAAACTTACCGGTAATAATGCATACTAGTGTATCGAATCTCAATAGGAGAAAATCACACAAGGTGTTTTGTATAACTAGGAATCTTTTGTGAATTTTCCTTAATAGTTTTCATCTTTCCTGTGCACAGCATATATCATTGTGAATGTAAAAAGTAAAAAAATATTGTAACTAGATATTGACATATTTTTCATTTGTATGATGTTAAATTTTCATGAAGGTGTACCTGTAACTTTACATTTAGAAATTGTCTCTATTACATCATTATATTTCAAGTGCAATTTCGAACTTTTTTTCACAAGATACTGATGTCCTGCAGTTATGATGACACGATAAAGATTCACAAAGAAGATGGTGATGACTGGACAAGTTTTCAAACACTAGAATCACACACATCGACTGTGTGGAGCATTGACTTTGACTCAACGGGAGAGAGAATGGTTTCATGCAGTGATGACATGACAGTTAAGATCTGGCAGGCTTACCAACCTGGAAATAAAGAGGGTAAAATATATGAATGCATAAATAGTTATTTTATACCTGCTGTTGAATTGCAAATGGTACTTGCATTTCAAAAATGATTTATTTGCCATTTTGTTTGCAAGCGTGACCTAAATTTCTCTAAATGATACCGAAATGCCATGTTCTGTGAAATGTTTCTGTGTGGTTTTAACTACAGTAAAACTTGCATAAGACGTCATCATCTAACTCGTCAATTCGCATAAGTCGTCATGGAAGTCAAAGTCCCGATTTGCTCTCATAGTAAATCCATTGGAATAGCCCCGCCTAAGTCGTCATTTATAAGACGTCATTATGTGCAAGTCGTCGCAGACAGGTCCCATGTAATACAAACAACAGTAATTTCCCATCTGTAATTCGTCATCAGAACAAAGCCGTATATATTCTGCTATACTAACTAGATCATTCCAGAACACGGCCTCGCGGAATTACCGTATTTTTCCAGCAAGTGTTCCAAGAAAATTTGGCAGACGTGCACTGCAAATATCCTGCAATGGCAGCAATGTCCATACGTGTAATCACTAATCAGGAGGTGTAATCAACAGTGGGTGTTACAGATAGCCAGAGTGTGCCGCGCTTGCCGCTAGTGTGTATGATGGCACGGCACACGCATCTGGGGCTTTATGGCCAGCAGCAGTGTCGATTGATGTGCGGACCCGATTGTTTCATGTCTGCTATGTATGTGGCGCGAACTGGCGTCGTGTGTGGAGCATGTTTATGACTGCGTACGGGTGACGGGCGCCTGGGAGGGGAGCCCTACATATAAGTCGACAAAATGACGACTTACGCATAAGTCGGCACAAATATGCTGGTCCCAAAAGTGTTGACTTATGTGAGTTTTACTGTATTGAAATTATCTTCTAATGTTCAACAGGTATTCAAACAACGGGTAAAGATGCAACCTGGAAAAACCTGTGCACATTATCTGGATACCATAGTAGGACAATATATGATGTCAGTTGGTGAGTGATGATGCATAGCTGCATAACATATATACATTTATACACAGGTGCAAAAATCGTGGGTTAGTTTTTAGCTCATCTGACATAGTCAGATGCAGCTTGTAGAATCGCATGATCGTCCGTCCGTCCGTCCTGCAGCTTGTAGAATCGCATGATCGTCCGTCCGTCCGTCCGTCCGTCCGTCCGTGCGAGCGTCCGTCCGTCCGTCCGTGCGAGCGTCCGTCCGTCCGTCAACAGTTGGGCACAAATCTAAACGGCTCGACGTACGGTCACGATATTCGGGACGTTGCATCAACGCAACACAGATAACCTTTGACCCGGTACACAGCTACATACCGGCATACCAGCATACAGCTGGCATGCCCCCACGTACGCACGGCAACTGCAATCAGCAGCAGATCCGGGCTCAAATCTCCCAGCGAGCCACATTAGCCGCGTTCACACGGAGCGAAGGAACTCGGGTCGAAAACTACACGGAGCGTCGTTGAAGAGAGCGTTCACGCGACGCTATGCGAGCTGTGAGCTGAGAAAAAAATACAATGCGTCCAAGCGAACAATGCGAATTAAACAATCAAACTCTTCTGACTGACCTCCAACTATTCTGTTTACTTTCGTGTTGTGACGTACTAATTCCAACCCGAGTCGCACGTTCACACGGCAAAAATGAACTAGGACTCGAGTCGTTTTCGACCCGAGTCGTTTTCGTACCGAGAAAACGTCCGTGTGAACGCTCGTCCCGGGACGCATTTGACACGGGTCGAAAACGGTTCCTTCGCTCCGTGTGAATGCGGCTATTGCCTCGCGAGTTAGCAATAGCGCGTTAGTAGCTGCCTTTTGTTTGAATATAGGCGGGCAATCGGCTTGGATTGATGGCCAAAGAATGGATAATCGTGTCGTACGTTTTAGTCTGTATCTCCGGATTGCTTGTGTATCTGAGGAAACGATTTCGCACGATGCTAGGCGAATGTACTGTGTACAATTTGAGCTCAAGTTGGATAAGTTACGCGTAGTAAATCGTAGGTATTTTAAAGCTAGTAAATGACGAATTTCCCTTGTTTATTGATGTCACACTCCTTCTACTCCCGATTTGAATTAATTACCACCAGTGGGTCCTACATGTTCCATCAAAGTAAAAGAGTAACTGATTATTACTTAATACAGTAGTAATACTAATGTTTATTTAAATAGTACTAGTAGTAGTAGTTCTATTAGTAATACTAATTACTATATTATATATATTAATTATTAATCAATAATAACCTGTGGAATGCTTTCCCATCAACCCGCACTATAATCCAGCAGTTTGGCAAACAACTGTCGTGTTTTTCAAAATGACGAACATACTCGTACTTGCTGTTGGCCATTTTTGTTGCTATGTATTTACAAACGGCTTTACAATTGAATAATGTTGTGATAATGTTGAGCTGCTTGGCATTACATTTTACACGTTTTAATGTTGTTGACATAATAATTTCGATATGAAGAGTAGGGTAATCATTAAAAGATCGTAGAATATGTGGTTAGATACTTCATTATCACATTCGAATTGTAAGGTGAATGTTTGTTATTCGATTGCTAGAAATACGATAATACTAGTACTCTTTCAATAAATGTAATCACGGTTAAATACGATGGGCGCAGACATTACTGTGTAGGTGCCCCTTATGTACAAATAATTATTGTGTAACGACACCAATAATAAAATTATTAGTAGTCCTAATAAATAAACATACAACACGTTTGTTTTTACTTCGTCTATATATTTAACAGATTTGATTAGTAGGTATATTATTATGTAAATAAATATTTGTCGTGAAGAAGTATTTACAGCGTTGGACGCGACCATATGACCCTTGACCTCGATTGGAAAACACTTGGATACGCCAGTACAAGGAGTAGACAGTACATAATAAGACATTACCAACTGGCTATATACTTTTGAAGTTCTGTCATCGCACGTGTATTAGTTAAAATTCTGGTAGGTTACATCAATGAATATGTATCACAGCGGTTGACACGAGACTAATGTAGCGGTTCATGTTGGGTTAGGTTGGTTTTACTAATAAAGTAATATCAAGTCAACTTAGACAACTAGGCTATACAACTAGCCGATTCGCGATTGTTCACTGAGATTGGGAATGGGAGACTGTCACTATCTCGTGACCAGTGTGTGTGTGTCACGTGTGTGGCGTATTTAATAGATTCACTCCACTGGTACTCGCAATATCCAATCAGTTACTTTAGACTTAGAGTACACCTTTCGGTTCAAGGATAGAGAACATGGGTCCCAATAAAACCAATGTCATTTACATCAATAATGACAATATAAATATAATATTATATCAATATAATAGGTTAGGGTTAGGGTTAGGGTTAGGGTTAGGGTTAGGGTTAGAATTAGGGTTAGGGTTAGGTTTAGGCACATTGGTTTTATTGGGACCCATGTTCTCTATCCTTGGGCCTAATGTAACCCAAACAGGATAGGGTATCCTGGTTTTTGTTTACATTATTGTATCTAACACTGATATAGCTCTAGCTTCTAGTAGTAGTACTATACTATAGCCTGTGTACAGTTGCCGCAGGGCTATAGAACATTTTATGCCCGGTTTCGTAACTGCACCTGTCCTCCAATGCTTCCACGAAAAATGGCTCACAAAACGCAAAATGATCGGGCTTCTTAAAGGGATAGTAGACTCTAGGATTTTACTGCATACAACTGGTACTTACTGTATAACAAATTGTCTATACCCACACGTATTTGTTAGCAGATACCTAATTTAATTGTTATAATTAATTAGACATCAACGCTACGAAATTTGAACGGCGCCATGACACCCGCGATCGTGCTGCCACCTCGAAAAAGTTGTGTATTTGACCATTTATTTTGCACGTTACAGACCGAGGGCTAATCACAAAAGTGCAATTATATTTATACCTAAATGCTATTTAACCGAACGATATTCATTTTAGGGCAAATTTATCCATATAACTGAAACTATATGTCATTTATAAGATATTACAATCCTTTTGCTTTTAAATTAATAAATAAGAAACACCCTCGGTCTGTAGCCCTTGGCTGAAACGTGGTTTTGCGCAACTGATCAGATTGCGATGTCATTGTAATCAAACTGTAGTCGTTAGTTTTAAAACATTTTTTAATAATATTTCTAATGGTGATTGAACCATGAAACTTATTATGTAGCGTAATTTTAAAGGGATAGTAGACTCTAGGATTTTACTGCATATAACTGTACTTACTGTATAACAAATCATCTATACCCACACGTATTTGTTACCAGATACCTAATTTAATTGTTATAATTAATTAGACATCAGTGCTACGAAATTTGAACGGCGCCATGACACACGCGACCGTGCTGCCACCCCGAAAAAGTTGCGTATTTGACAATTTATTTTGCACGTTACAGACCGAGGGCTAATCACAAAAGTGAAATTATATTGATACATAAATGCTATTTAACCGAACGATATTCATTTTAGGTCAAATTTATCCATATAATAACTGAAACTATATGTCGTTTATAAGATATTACAATCCTTTTGCTTTTAATTATATTATATAAGAAACACCCTCGGTCTGTAGCCCTAGGCTGAAAAGTGGTTTTGCGCAACTCATCAGATCGTGCGCTTTGAGTTGCGCCACCGTCGTTCTAATCAAACTGTAGTCGTTAGTTTTAAAACATTTTTTAATAATATTTCTAATGGTGATTGAACCATGAAACTTTTTATGTAGCGTAATTATAACCTAAATTAACTGAAAATAACGCTAGAACCTAGAGTAAACTCTTCCTTTAACCTGAATTAACTGAAAATTGCCCTAGAACCTAGAGTAAACGATTCCTTTAACACTTATTTATGTACATGGACATCTCACCTATCTTCTTTTTGAACACTTTCCAAAACTTTACACCATGTATTTAAATGCATTTATTCTTCAAAGTGCTAGCACTACTTGGGTTTCGTTTTCAAATGCTGTTGTGTACACGCGTGACGTCACGCGAAATGTAATAGGCTGCATCATAGCTGCCCATGTGTTTTGTCTACATTTCGGGTGACGTCACGCGTGTACACAACAACATTTGAAAACGAAACGCAAGTAGTGCTAGCACTTTGAGGAATAAATGCATAAATACATGGTGTAAAGTTGTGGAAAGTGTTCAAAAAGATGGGTGAGAAGTCCATGTAGATAAATAAGTGTTAAAAAGCCCGATCATTTTGCGTTTTGTGAGGCATTTTTCGTGGAAGCATTGGGAGACAGGTGCAGTTACGAAACCTGGCATAAAATGTTCTATAGCCCTGCGGCAACTGTACGCGGGCTATAGTACTAGAGCTAACACTGATACAGCAGTAGACTCGTTGTATGTGTTTATCACTCGGGTCACAGGTGTGCACACCAGAACCACTCGAATCACAAATGTAAACTTTTGTGGCACTTATTTGCTAAGCATTGTATTTAGAATGTTCTGTTTCAACATTGATTGGCTAAAGATGTCTGTCAATCATGCCAGGGAGAGATATAAGTTCATTACAATCACACCATGCCTGTGATGTTGAGATAGTAATAATAATCTTAATGAGTATACCTCCTATGCACCAGTTTATGATTGAGCTATAGCCCTGTTCACACAAGGTTCTGTGTATATACATGAATAGCAACTATAGCTGATCTTAAACAATTTTATTGTATAGAAGGCTGCCCTCCCCACCACTACATGTAGCATTGGCATCAGGCAGCGTTTTGACTGGAGCAGTACCTACAACCCTTTCTGCGCCATTTAAGGAAAATGGATTTTAAAGTGGTGATTACGACTTGCATGGAAAAATAGCACTTATATATTGCCTCAGTACAGAACCCAGTGGTAGAATGAGCAGCTCAAGAGTGGACCTGAAGGTATGTAACCAGCATTATTGCTCCTTTGTATTTAGTAAAAAAAATTTGTAAGGCATCTTTGTGTCATGATAGCATTGTAATTACAGAGTGTTGATAATGGTTGATGGTAACTTCAGGAAACTTGTTATGTCAGTCACTGACTTTCACATTTAATTTTAAAGATTACTAGTAGTTTTCTCCAGTTGCTAGTAACAGAACTGTCAATTTCGAACCCTGCATGTTTGCGACTTTACAGGTGGTGCTGCTTGGCAAAGAGTATGGTGGAAAGACTAGCCTAGTAGAGAGATACCTGCATGACCGATTCAACGCCGATTTGCCCTATCAAAATGTAGGTGCATATGTTCAGGAGTGTATCAATAGGAGTGAGACAGACTAAAACCGGCACAATTCAACATTTAGTAGCCTTAGTCTACCTATGATTTATTGTGTTTACATCGATAAACTTGAGCTCAAGTCTTGCCTTAATCATTAAACTTTATCCGTGTCTAATCGTTGGTCTCACAAAAATGACAAATCGGGAGATATCTGTTGGATAAGTTACGCGTAGTAAATCGTAGGTATTATAAGGCTAGTAAATGACGAATTTCCCTTGTTTATTGATGTCACACTCCTTCCCTATTATCTACTCCTGATATGTATGTATGTATATATTATCAGGAGTTAATAAAGACAAATGTCTTTATATCATTATAAACGTCTGAATATTGAGTTTATTGACGCACGATTAGTCAATATATTAGCAAATATATGCGCGCGGAAGTGAATTACAGATGATTAAATGTTCGAACCACCCGAATCCGAACCCCCCTACCGTGCCCGCCTGTACTGTGTGTACTGGCGCATTGTATAGCTGGTACATGTATTTGCATTGTATACAGGCGGGCGCCATAGGGGGGTTCGAACATTTAATCATCTGTAATTTACTTCTAAGGAATATCTGCATTGGGCACCCCCTCTAATAATTATAGTACTGCCATAAGCTACAACTGTGCCAAGTTTTAGACTTTTGTCACTCCTGTCTGTCTGTAATGATTCGGCCCATATTTTGCACTAAGGGACCTGACTATACAGTCAACAATAACTCAAGAACCATTTGACCCACATGTTGCAAATTGCATACAGTTGTTACTCCTATGGGAGAGGTTTGAACGTCCTATTTTAGAGCACGCCAGTCGACCTACTTTCGAGCCATGTCCACTTTTTGGCAAAAATGGAAATGGACATAAGCAGGGCTGCCAACATTGAGTGATAGGTGAGAGTGAGATGCGAGGGAGCGAAGCGACCGAGCGGGGGTGGGTGTGGGAGGGGAGTTTCCCCCCTCCCATGGTAGGGAGCTTTTGCATTTTATAGCTTCAATTTGTGCAATTTGGTGCATACTAAAGTGACTGTTTTCAGATATTGTAAGGTTTTTTTGCTGTGCCTGAGATATTTCAGCGTTTTATTCATGAAGAGATATTCATGCGTGAGATATCTCAGCAATTTTTGGCTGTGCGTGAGATATTGTAAGATCAGCGTGAGAGCGTGAGATTTGGTCAAAATGCGTGAGTCTCACGGTCAATGCGTGAGAGTTGGCAGCCCTGCATAAGTCAGTTCAGGTTCAACGGATTTTGCTCATTTCTGGTATGTGAATGAATAAGGACTGGCCCCAAAACATATCACACGGGTTTGTTTTGTTTTTTAATTATGCAAATTAGGTAGATTTGAGCAATTTCACTATGGTTTCATTTCTATTTCTATTCTATTTCTATTCTATTCATGGCTAGCATTTCAGTGTCTGCCTACGGTCAACGATAACTCAAGAACCGTTTGACCCACATGTTTCAAATTGCATACAGTTGTTACTCCTATGGGAGAGATTTGAACGTTCTATTTTGGAGCATGCCTGTTGACCTACTTTCGAGCCACGCCCACTTTTTGGCAAAAATGAAAATGGCCATCTAGAATCATTCGATTTTGTTAAATTTTGGTATATGAATGTGTAAGGCTAGCCCCAAAACAGTTGTTACTCCTATGGGAGAGATGACAACGTCCTATTACGTTTATTTCGTCTAACTGGTTAACAACTCTACAATCATACCTATATACGTGTAATATTGTGTTTTAGATTCTTTGTTACATTAATTTGACTGGAATATTTTATTGTTTTTATTTGCGCGATATTCGAAAACCGAAATGGCGATCATTTAGGCGTAGCGCCATCTCTCGTCAAGATTTCAGACTCAGATCTGAAACATTTATTTTTGCATCAAAACTTATGCATATATCATTATCAAGAGTATATAATGGGAGATATGCTATATAATGGAAGTTCTCCCATATATATACTCTTGCTTTATATATCCCCCCCTCTTCTATCACACCAAGGTGAGCTACAGTGTCATTGACACTTTCATTTTTGACATTACTAACATGGTTTTGCTGTGTTTTGGCAGCTTCATGTTTATCTTCGCACTGATTGAGTTTACCTATGTATTGGGGCTGCTTATACAACACATGTAACTGACCTCAATTAACAATAGAGGATGAATCGTTGCATTACGTATGTTTACAAAGCTGAGCTAACAAAATTTCATTTGAAATCGTTTACCTTCATGTTCCTACTTCTACAATCATTGATGAATCAAGCTATCAGCTTTTAATATATAAAAAGATGCAAACCAATAAATCGTTGTAACTCAGATTAAACTGTATATGTGAATAGTGTGTTTCATTTACCCATTTAAATTACCATGTACTTTATATACAACACAGGTGCAAGTTGACAGGACTAATAGCCACAGCAGGTGGGGACGACAAGCTCTGTGTGTTTGAGGAGGAGGTTGATAGTACAGGGCCAACTTTTGTGCTTTCCACTGCCATTACAAGAGCCCACAACGAAGATGTGAACTCTGTAGAATGGAATCCAAAAGTTACTGGGCTCTTGGCATCAAGTTCGGACAGTGGTGATGTCAAGATCTGGCAGTACTCTGTATAAGGAATGACTTGATGCAGTTGTTACACAAGCCATGTATGGGCTGCACACTGAGGAGCATGCACATTAGTCAAGGTGGTAGCTAATGCATGTTTGCCATGGCATTGGTTTTCGGCCAAACCTTGATTACTAGCTTATCAAAACGTGTATAGACTAATGTACTATATGTGTATCATGATAAAAAACAGATTCCTTAAAAAATAAGAGATTTCCAGAGTAGTTGTAATTAAAACGGGTGTATAGCAACATTAAAGGGCCTAACCTATGAACTGTAATCACTATTATTTCTCTGTTACATGTGTAACCAATAAATCAAATACAAAAGTAAATTATTTCTTCTCCATTAAAAGTCTTCAGTTTTTTTACACACAGTTACATAAGACCCAAAACAAAAAGACATGGTGAACATATATTACTGACATAATAGAGTTAATTGAGGTGATCGGATTTTGTATTCCTTGACTACATAAGTGTAAATCTATGCTGTTTAGTCTAAAACATCAACATGTACCAACTGTATTGAGTAAATATGGGTGTTCGACCCAAAATGTGTCGCCAATTAAATCACAGTTCACAGCTTCAATCTTTTTTCTCACTTTTGTCACAGACTTTGGCTCCTTCGTTTTATGATCGGTGATAGTAACCTCTTCAGCAATCTGGGAACACAAAACTTTACTAGTAATAATAAGCTATTAATGTTTACTCTTAACTACCATATGCTTTCACGTGCGTGACTCCTTAGTCTCATGCACATTCACAAGATATCCCAGTACTTATTTAAGACGACTGAGTCATTGTATCTGCAGATAACTTAATCTGGAAAATATAACTTCTGACTAGCCATCGATACATGGCAGTGCAGTAACTTCTCTTAGATTCACTATGAATGAAACTGCATATTATAATCCACTAGTCAGAATTTAGTTTAAGAAATGTATTCCTGCCTCAATAATGCTGTAAATGAAATACATCTAGTGGTAGTGCAGCACAGATTAGCAGCACAAATTATAACTTCTTCAAACGGTTACTTAACGAACACAACCGGTTCTGCTGGATACCTCTTTCCTTAATAGTATAGTGCCCTTTTTTAATATTTCTGGCTCCTGGTTATAGTTTATTCCAAATTCTGAGAAGAGTATCTCATTTTTGTTTGACGAAAACGTGCCCTGAAATAGGAATAATTAATAATAGTACATTTTGCATTTGTTAGCGCCTGATTCAGGAAAACACTAATAGTAAAACAATTTATAGTGAAACATTTGTGAATGGTGTTACAGCATAAAGGCTTGATAAAACAATAACATTTAGGTATTTGAATTTTGAGATGGTAGAGGTCAATTTGACTTACAGATAGCCTAGTTTGTGCTTCCTTGTTTGACAAACCACCTTCCTGCACCAAGGCCCAGAAAGCAGTGTTGTAGAGGTTATTTATGTGGCCTGAACAAAAACAAAGACATCTCACTCTAATTTACTTTACAAGAGTTCACCCATAGATCAATTTCTTTGCAATAGGTTATACGGTAACGTTTATAATAACTGACATATAATACATCTGAAATCATTATAAGCGAAAACCAACACTATAGTATATATCTAGTAATTAGTAGAACATTAATTAATTAAATCAAATGTAGTTTATAAAGGTTTCATATAATATACGAACTTACAATCAGCCTGCCTCCAACTGAGATAGTCTCTCAAGTTCTGGTCACTAGGATATATGACAACTCGTCCATCAAATGATGGTGGATAGAGTAGTTTCACATTTGGAAAGAACTCAGGCCAGTGGAACACATACGATGACGCAAACAAACTGGCTACATTTGTCATCAGTTTACTGAAACAAGATTAGTTAAAATAAATGAGCACACTATTTACAACGTTCAAATACTACAAGAGAATATGTCACAGAAGATAATCAAATAATTGTGTGCAAACTAAATAGTGCCATCCACTGTACACTGTGTGTGAATTTGTACACAATCAAGAGTAGATAATAACACATGTGTTATTATCTACTCTTGACACAATGTAGTGACAATTTTATGTAACTTACCAGACGATAGAACCCAAACCAACAGGGTATATAAATAATGTGAATTTGCACTCAATATAGTGGCAATTTTATTAAGCTACTTATTAAGGTACCCTACGTATTAAGGTACCTTACTAAGCTATAGAACTCGAACCAACAGAGTATACACTATTCAAACGATTTTTGTTCGCTTGTACTATGTATTGTGAATCATAATGATTTTATTATAAAACCAACTGATACAACCTATTTGTTACCTTTCTCTTCGTTTGTAGGCCTGTGTCTCTTTTTTAAACACAAAACTATACTCATCGCTCTGTCCATAAGCTAACACCATCTCAGTGAATTCTGTCATGACATTGTGAGCACATCGTGTCATGAGCTTAATTCCATTAACATCATTTGGCTTCGTAAAAGCATGAGCATCTGCAAATCTAGAAATCAAAACTTATCCATTAATATTTAACTGACGATATATAACAGCGTCACTTTTATCTAGCTAATGACATTAAGACTCATATACCACCAGGAGTAAAATGATAAAGAAATCCTGTTATATATTACTCCTAATACACAATGTAATTATCCATAGATAGATCTCTATAGGTGCATCTGTCTGTGTATGGTTATGCTACAGACTAGTGCCTCACAAATTTTGGGAAAAAAATGTACATAGCCACAGTTAATTGATCAACTATTTCATCTACTATTATAGAAAGTCAGCCAATCATAATTTGTCATTTCATTAGCCTAACACCATCTAAACCACCCATCATATAAGAGTGATAAACATGGTTGTAATCAGGCCAACTGATTAGGAGATTAAGGCAGATGGGGTCGTTGTCGTATCAGGTACTACAGATATGTACCCGATGTAGTTTTAGGTTGTTTAGTATTATGTTTATATTTTTATATGAGGTATGTTTAGGGTTAGGGTTAGGGCTAGGGTTAGGGATAGTGTTAGGGTTAGGGTACACTTCTGTAGTACAAGTCTGGTACACTTGGTGTATACATATATGTACCTCGGGTACATATCTGTAGTACCTGATACGACAACGACCCCTTGAGCGAGATTAAGTGACCCTATCTTACATGCACATATAGATGCACACAATCATGCACAGGCATGCACAAGCACGCACGGACGCACACACACTTATATCTAGTAGATTACATGATGCTTCGTTGTTGGATCATATGACTCTGATCACACGGATTCAGTGATCCTGCACGTTTGTTTGTGCCGATCAGTGATCCGGATCACAAATTGCTGAACCTGCTGGCGAGGTGGGCTTGAAGGGGATCCAATATTCCAGCATGTGAGCCAGCCAACCACCGCTTGTTGTTTGCTATGAACCATCCCGTGATAGGTCACAGTGAAACGTAATCGGATGGAAGTGAATTTGCATTTGTTTGGGAAGATCAGGATCGAGTGATCCTAATCGGAAAGATTCGTCCCAAACAAACATGCAGGCCATAAAAGTAGTATTACATATTTTAATGTACATAGGCTCATGTATAGCTGCTTCAAATTGACTTGGTGGATTCATTTTGTTAGATATATACAATATCTCACCTACTAGTTAGTGCGGAGTGTCAATTAGTAGTGTGACGAAGGCTAAATGATGATCTAGCTCATACCTCACCTTCAACTTAATTATATTTGAATCAGGAGTAGATAATAGGGAAGGAGTGTGACATCAATAAACAAGGGAAATTCATCATTTACTAGCCTTAAAATACCTACGATTTACTACGCGTAACTCATCCAACTTGAGCTCAAATCGTACACAGTACATTCGCCTAGCATCGTGCAAAATCGTTTCCTCGTATACACAAGCATTCCGGAGATACAGACTAAAACGTACGACACAATTATCCATTCTTTGGCCATCAATCCAAGCCGATTGCCCGCCTATATTCAAACAAAAGGCAGCTACTAACGCGCTATTGCTAACTCGGCGAGGCATGTGGCTCGCTGGGAGATTAGGCATCAACGCAACACAGATAACCTTTGACCCGGTACACAGCTACATACCGGCATACCAGCATACAGCTGGCATGCCCCCACGTACGCACGGCAACCGCAATCAGCAGCAGATCCGGGCTCAAATCTCCCAGCGAGCCACATTAGCCGCGTTCACACGGAGCGAAGGAACTCGGGTCGAAAACGACACGGAGCGTCGTTGAAGAGAGCGTTCACGCGACGCTATGCGAGCTGTGAGCTGAGAAAAAAATACAATGCGTCCAAGCGAACAATGCGAATTAAACAATCAAACTCTTCTGACTGACCTCCAACTATTCTGTTTACTTTCGTGTTGTGACGTACTAATTCCAACCCGAGTCGCACGTTCACACGGCAAAAATGAACTAGGACTCGAGTCGTTTTCGACCCGAGTCATTTTCGTACCGAGAAAACGTCCGTGTGAACGCTCGTCCCGGGACGCATTTGACACGGGTCGAAAACGGTTCCTTCGCTCCGTGTGAATGCGGCTATTGCCTCGCGAGTTAGCAATAGCGCGTTAGTAGCTGCCTTTTGTTTGAATATAGGCGGGCAATCGGCTTGGATTGATGGCCAAAGAATGGATAATCGTGTCGTACGTTTTAGTCTGTATCTCCGGATTGCTTGTGTATCTGAGGAAACGATTTCGCACGATGCTAGGCGAATGTACTGTGTACAATTTGAGCTCAAGTTGGATAAGTTACGCGTAGTAAATCGTAGGTATTTTAAAGCTAGTAAATGACGAATTTCCCTTGTTTATTGATGTCACACTCCTTCTACTCCCGATTTGAATTAATTACCACCAGTGGGTCCTACATGTTCCATCAAAGTAAAAGAGTAACTGATTATTACTTAATACAGTAGTAATACTAATGTTTATTTAAATAGTACTAGTAGTAGTAGTTCTATTAGTAATACTAATTACTATATTATATATATTAATTATTAATCAATAATAACCTGTGGAATGCTTTCCCATCAACCCGCACTATAATCCAGCAGTTTGGCAAACAACTGTCGTGTTTTTCAAAATGACGAACATACTCGTACTTGCTGTTGGCCATTTTTGTTGCTATGTATTTACAAACGGCTTTACAATTGAATAATGTTGTGATAATGTTGAGCTGCTTGGCATTACATTTTACACGTTTTAATGTTGTTGACATAATAATTTCGATATGATGAGTAGGGTAATCATTAAAAGATCGTAGAATATGTGGTTAGATACTTCAATATCACATTCGAATTGTAAGGTGAATGTTTGTTATTCGATTGCTAGAAATACGATAATACTAGTACTCTTTCAATAAATGTAATCACGGTTAAATACGATGGGCGCAGACATTACTGTGTAGGTGCCCCTTAAGTACAAATAATTATTGTGTAACGACACCAATAATAAAATTATTAGTAGTCCTAATAAATAAACATACAACACGTTTGTTTTTTACTTGGTCTATATATTTAACAGATTTTATTAGTAGGTATATTATTATGTAAATAAATATTTGTCGTAAAGAAGTATTTACAGCGTTGGACGCGACCATATGACCCTTGACCTCGATTGGAAAACACTTGGATACGCCAGTACAAGGAGTAGACAGTACATAATAAGACATTACCAACTGGCTATATACTTTTGAAGTTCTGTCATCGCACGTGTATTAGTTAAAATTCTGGTAGGTTACATCAATGAATATGTATCACAGCGGTTGACACGAGACTAATGTAGAGGTTCATGTTGGGTTAGGTTGGTTTTACTAATAAAGTAATATCAAGTCAACTATACAACTAGCCGATTCGCGATTGTTCACTGAGATTGGGAATGGGAGACTGTCACTATCTCGTGACCAGTGTGTGTGTGTCACGTGTGTGGCGTATTTAATAGATTTACTCCACTGGTACTCGCAATATCCAATCAGTTACTTTAGACTTAGAGTACACCTTTCTTCCCAACTGTCTTATCTAACCACAATCATTGAATATTGTTGCTATATCAATCAGTGAGTCGAGCATACACTGATAGTGATATAGATACAATAATGTAACCCAAACAGGATAGGGTATCCTGGTTTTTGTTTACATTATTGTATCTAACACTGATATAGCTCTAGCTTCTAGTAGTACTATACATAATACTATAGCCTGTGTACAGTTGCCGCAGGGCTATAGAACATTTTATGCCCGGTTTCGTAACTGCACCTGTCCCCCAATGCTTCCACGAAAAATGGCTCACAAAACGCAAAATGATCGGGCTTTTTAAAGGGATAGTAGACTCTAGGATTTTACTGCATACAACTGGTACAAGTTTACTGTATAACAAATCGTCTATACCCACACGTATTTGTTACCAGATACCTAATTTAATTGTTATAATTAATTAGACATCAACTCTACGAAATTTGAACGGCGCCATGACACCCGCGACCGTGCTGCCACCCCGAAAAAGTTGCGTATTTGACAATTTATTTTGCACTTTACAGACCGAGGGCTAATCACAAAAGTGCAATTATATTTATACCTAAATGCTATTTAACCGAACGATATTCATTTTAGGGCAAATTTATCCATATAACTGAAACTATATGTCATTTATAAGATATTACAATCCTTTTGCTTTTAAATTAATAAATAAGAAACACCCTCGGTCTGTAGCCCTTGGCTGAAACGTGGTTTTGCGCAACTGATCAGATTGCGATGTCATTGTAATCAAACTGTAGTCGTTAGTTTTAAAACATTTTTTAATAATATTTCTAATGGTGATTGAACCATGAAACTTATTATGTAGCGTAATTTTAAAGGGATAGTAGACTCTAGGATTTTACTGCATATAACTGTACTTACTGTATAACAAATCATCTATACCCACACGTATTTGTTACCAGATACCTAATTTAATTGTTATAATTAATTAGACATCAGTGCTACGAAATTTGAACGGCGTCATGACACACGCGACCGTGCTGCCACCCCGAAAAAGTTGCGTATTTGACAATTTATTTTGCACGTTACAGACCGAGGGCTAATCACAAAAGTGAAATTATATTGATACATAAATGCTATTTAACCGAACGATATTCATTTTAGGTCAAATTTATCCATATAATAACTGAAACTATATGTCGTTTATAAGATATTACAATCCTTTTGCTTTTAATTATAATATATAAGAAACACCCTCGGTCTGTAGTCCTAGGCTGAAAAGTGGTTTTGCGCAACTCATTAGATCGTGCGCTTTGAGTTGCGCCACCGTCGTTCTAATCAAACTGTAGTCGTTAGTTTTAAAACATTTTTTAATAATATTTCTAATTGTGATTGAACCATGAAACTTTTTATGTAGCGTAATTATAACCTAAATTAACTGAAAATAATGCTAGAACCTAGAGTAAACTCTTCCTTTAACCTGAATTAACTGAAAATAGCCCTAGAACCTAGAGTAAACGATTCCTTTAACACTTATTTATGTACATGGAAATCTCACCTATCTTTTTGAACACTTTCCAAAACTTTACACCATGTATTTGAATGCATTTATTCTTCAAAGTGCTAGCACTACTTGGTTTCGTTGTCAAATGCTGTTGTGTACACGCGTGACGTCACGCGAAATGTAATAGGCTGCATCATAGCTGCCCATGTGTTTTGTCTACATTTCGGGTGACGTCACGCGTGTACACAACAACATTTGAAAACGAAACGCAAGTAGTGCTAGCACTTTGAGGAATAAATGCATAAATACATGGTGTAAAGTTGTGGAAAGTGTTCAAAAAGATGGGTGAGAAGTCCATGTAGATAAATAAGTGTTAAAAAGCCCGATCATTTTGCGTTTTGTGAGGCATTTTTCGTGGAAGCATTGGGAGACAGGTGCAGTTACGAAACCTGGCATAAAATGTTCTATAGCCCTGCGGCAACTGTACGCGGGCTATAGTACTAGAGCTAACACTGATACAGCAGTAGACTCGTTGTATGTGTTTATCACTCGGGTCACAGGTGTGCACACCAGAACCACTCGAATCACAAATGTAAACTTTTGTGGCACTTCTTTGCTAAGCATTGTATTTAGAATGTTCTGTTTCAACATTGATTGGCTAAAGATGTCTGTCAATCATGCCAGGGAGAGATATAAGTTCATTACAATCACACCATGCCTGTGATGTTGAGATAGTAATAATAATCTTAATGAGTATACCTCCTATGCACCAGTTTATGATTGAGCTATAGCCCTGTTCACACAAGGTTCTGTGTATATACATGAATAGCAACTATAGCTGATCTTAAACAATTTTATTGTATAGAAGGCTGCCCTCCCCACCACTACATGTAGCATTGGCATCAGGCAGCAGTTTTGACTGGAGCAGTACCTACAACCCTTTCTGCGCCATTTAAGGAAAATGGATTTTAAAGTGGTGATTACGACTTGCATGGAAAAATAGCACTTATATATTGCCTCAGTACAGAACCCAGTGGTAGAATGAGCAGCTCAAGAGTGGACCTGAAGGTATGTAACCAGCATTATTGCTCCTTTGTATTTAGTAAAAAAAATTTGTAAGGCATCTTTGTGTCATGATAGCATTGTAATTACAGAGTGTTGATAATGGTTGATGGTAACTTCAGGAAACTTGTTATGTCAGTCACTGACTTTCACATTTAATTTTAAAGATTACTAGTAGTTTTCTCCAGTTGCTAGTAACAGAACTGTCAATTTCGAACCCTGCATGTTTGCGACTTTACAGGTGGTGCTGCTTGGCAAAGAGTATGGTGGAAAGACTAGCCTAGTAGAGAGATACCTGCATGACCGATTCAACGCCGATTTGCCCTATCAAAATGTAGGTGCATATGTTCAGGAGTGTATCAATAGGAATGAGACAGACTAAAACCGGCACAATTCAACATTTAGTAGCCTTAGTCTACCTATGATTTATTGTGTTTACTACGATAAACTTGAGCTCAAGTCTTGCCTTAATCATTAAACTTTATCCGTGTCTAATCGTTGGTCTCACAAAAATGACAAATCGGGAGATATCTGTCCAAACGTACAATGTGGTTTTTGAAAGTTATACCGCATTTTCAACAACTGTGAACCGAAACATAAGGGCAATGCTTTTGAAAGCCCTCTATCGCTTAGCAATGCAAACATAGCAAACAACTAGCGAGGTTTGCCAGGGATTTCAAAAAGTTAAACACGCCTTGTTGTTATTATAGGCCATGTCGAATGACAGTAATTACATGTTATGAACAATATTGTTAAGAAAAAATAAAATGGATAAAAATACTAAACATGTGAAATTTTTTATTTCTAATGTAAATAGTATCAATAACACCAAGTCGTGTGTAACTTTCCGAAATCCCTAGCAAACCTCGCTAGTTGTTTGCTATGTTTGTATTGCTAAGCGATAGAGGGCTTTCAAAAGCATTGCCCTTATGTTTCGGTTCACAGTTGTTGAAAATGCGGTATAACTTTCAAAAACCACATTGTACGTTTGGACCGATATCTCCCGATTTGTCATTTTTGTGAGACCAACGATTAGACACGGATAAAGTTTAATGATTAAGGCAAGACATGAGCTCAAGTTTATCGAGGTAAACACAATAAATCATAGGTAGACTAAGGCTACTAAATGTTGAATTTTGCCGGTTTTAGTCTGTCTCACTCCTATTGATACACTTCTGATATGTTGTAAAACAACCATTTTGTTATATCATCTTTATATACATCATTATATATATCTGTAATTATTACACTGATGCAAAAATCTTCCCTTGCCTTGAATTTTGATCGAATTTGTACTGCCATATCTGTTCGTTAGGGAAGTCTGATAATAATGAAGGCAGAGCAAGAGCTTGGTATTATGCTATAGTGTGGTCTTTCTTATAATTCTTAAGACTATAGGTGCAGCGTATGGCGCAAGGAGGGTCAAGGTGGGCGAACATACTGTAACGATGGGCATCTGGGTAAGTGTGTGTACTATGGTTCCATATATGTCACAAAATTGTAATACTACGGCTCCTTTATTTTAGCAAATGTGAAATAGTCTTATATTAATAATTTGCCTTGTTTACCTGATGTGATAAAATCAACCATTTCCTCCTACTTATGTTCATATTCTTACATATTAGGTTATTTTGCATATTCTTATGAAATTTTGTTAAATGTCATGGCTTATAAGACATGATAGGGCCAGGTGCATGGCTTGATTGTGCCAAGTAACCAATGCAGATTTTAGTTTTATGCTCTTTTTATAATTGATTTGCATTCTAATTTTGTGTTTGCTAAGAGTACTCCTATATTTTGGAGTAACTACTGATAGCGGAAAATAATTACTCATGATTGTTGTTGCAGGATACAGCTGGAAGTGAAAGATATGAAGCAATGAGTAGAATTTACTATAGAGGCGCCAAGGCAGCCATAGTTTGCTATGATCTGACAGATAGTAGCAGCTTCGATCGTGCAAAGTTCTGGGTGAATGAACTTCGCCAGCACGAAGAAGTAAGTTTAGTATTTTGTTACGTGTCTCTTACGTTATGATAAAAATCCTTAGTGGAATGTCGGTTTGAAATACATTTTCGAACTCAATATACAATTTCTGTTTTATTATTACAATTAGTACTATTATATTATTCTGTTTTATCATTATTACTATTTTACTTGGTCTGTATAAACGTGGTAATATTAGGATTTATATGCTCAACAGATGGCGCCATCATCTAACCTAACATGATTTTGTACATGCTAGATTTATTAGTAATGGGAGATAATGGCTGATAATAATCAAAACTGCTCTGATGACGAATTCTAAGAGTGACGTGTACATGACCTTAATCTTTGAACGGAATAAGGAAAGACTGTTTCATTAAATGATGGTTAAATGTGAAGCACTGAAGGCAAAAGTAGTTTGTGTGTGCGAGTGCGTGCGTGCGTGAATGCGTGCCTGCTTGTATGTGTGCATATATCTGTAGGAGTTTAATATTTTAATCACTTGCAGAAGTGCAAGATATATTTATGTGGTACTAAGCAAGATTTAGTAGATGGAGACCTGAAAAAACACAGAAGTGTCGATTACTACAACACAACTGATTTTGCTGATGGTAAGAGAAAAAATTCAAAAGACAGTTGATTTGTTCATTAGAGAAAACGTGGTAAATTAAGCATAATAAATATTATCAAACTCTTTCTTTTGTTGTTTTTATAACTCAAGTGCCATTTAATTGACTATGTGAGTTTTTATGGAATAATTTGTCTCTTTCAGAAATAAATGCTCGGGTATTTGAAACTTCAAGTAAAACAGGGAACAACGTTAGGGAATTGTTTTATAAAGTGGCCGAAGATTTTTGCAATGATCCAACAAACTTCCAAAAACGTACGTCTTTCAAATCTTACTAGTATAATGATATTTTGTTTTTATGTGTATTTATTTGTGTGTGTAATGCAAATTTCGATGATAAAAGAATTCAATGGAAGTCTCAACTCTAATCTAGTTTTGCACAGTTATTGCCTTCCTAAATGAATTGCTCTTTTATTAACCAGTTTTTTATGTGCTCGTGTCAGATGTTTGTTCAAGGCAATATTTAATAGTAAGTTTATACTCAGTGATAGCTCCTTATAAAATTTATACCTGTGTAATTTAATGTAATTTAATGTAACTAGTGTTACTTTAAAAAAAGCTATGTAATGTATATCTTAGGTTCATATCCTCATCTTTGCTACACCAAATGTAGCTCGACTCATACTGGTGTTTTATAATCCTACTAAAATTGGTATACTAGTCAAATTGTTCGTTTTGGAATGCCACTGTCCTAATAAGTACACGAGCAAATTATTCCACCCCTACCTGGGAGCGGGGACCTGGGGCTGGAAACGGGTGTTCTAAATTACTGCTTACAACGCTGTGTGCCAGAGATGCATATATCTGGGATATTTTCCAATATTGGACAAGAATGCCTGCTCAGCTGCTGCCATGTACTCACAGCAATTGTAAAATAAATTTAAAAAAATTCTGTATACTTTCAGAGGATGACAGCACACTGCACATCTATGACGAGCCACAGGGAAAGTCATGCATGTGCTGATGACCTCGCACCTGCTTTTTAGTGATGCATTATAGACATTTTAATTACTAACATTTACAAGACTTCGCAAACAAAGCTCCTTGAGTGAATTGACCTAGTTCAGAAGATAATACTGAACCACAGTGAACGGTTTCCTGCTTCTCATTGAGCATCACCTGCATTTCTAATTCAATCCTCTCATTGAAATTAGTGCTGCCACTGTGTGAAGATATAAATGTTATGCCCAACAAATATTTGTATGGAATATTTGTATATTGAATTATATACCTATATACTATAACCATAACAGTATTGAAGTCAGATTACATTAATCTATTGTTGTTGGTACGCATACATGCTTTATTCATAGTTCGTGTGATCAAATTCTTCCATAGATACAACGTGTGACCTAATGCTTCCTTATTAGAAAAACAAGTATATATAACTAAAATATAATGTGGTACAGGAAAATATAGTACCAATACCAGCAGAAAGATGTGCATAAATTTGCTGCTGGTAACATGTTCAGTGTTGATATAGTTTTACTGCATATATTTCTACCTAACAAGCAACGAGCTAGAGAGATAGTACCTATACTATTATCATGATTATATATGTGTTTGTGGTATATACTACTACGTGCCACTACTGCTCATATGCAATGTATGTTTATTTGCATGAACATATTTATACGTATGTATGGATATTATCAGGAGTAAGATAATATAGGATATTATATCATCTATATATCTTATTATATCACCTATATTATCTTACTCCTGATATTATGTTGATGATGTTAGATTACAAGGTAAATAAATAGTTTGGGCTGGCAAAAATTAGGAAAGTAAATTCTGGCAATTACATAACTGTTCTGTTATAGAACGAATTTATGTCAGTTTATTTATATGAGTCACAAACTCTTCACCAAATTTCATTATTGGCAAGATGTAAATATCCTTTAGTTATGTTAGCAGGTGTACGTTTATTTTATAATTGTGATTCTTTTTGCGAAAAATTATTAAGGACCCATTTAGCTGGGTGCGCGGTTAGGGTTATATCACACCCCTCACAGCAGGCTATCCCAGAAACCACCGCGCCGATGCATGTATGTATGTATGCATGGCACATCCATAACATATGATTGTAATCCGGCTGAATAGCCTATCTTGTAGAGCGGCTGGCGTTACCTCTGAAGGTCGTTAGTTCGAATCCCATGTATTAATTTTTTAATTTTTTAATTTTTCTATCTTTATCCATTTAACTATTTTTTCCCAATTAACGCAAATATTTACATAATTTATTTACAACAATTTAATTAAAAATTTATTTTTTAATTAAATTAAATTTATTAGTGTTAATTAAATTTAATTAGGGTTAGGGTTAGGGCTAGGGTTAGGGTTAGGTAGTAGGGCGTAGGTTGCGGTGGTTTCTGGGATAGGACCTGCTGTGAGGGGTGTGATATAACCTCGACCTGGGTGCGCAGTGATGACATGTGATTCTAGGTTCAAAAAGATGGCGTTAGTGTCTTTCTTTACAATAATGTACTATAAAATAATGAAAGGTGTTTATGTGCGAGTCATAGCTAGTGTAGACATAAGTCAAACATGGTCAAGTCATGGTTAATTTACTTTATATATAACTGGCTCTCATTAGGTCATAGTGTCACACTTTACATCTGTCATCATTGTACGTCTTTTCAGTTTCCCGCATTCAATCCTTTGGTGTTTTGAACTGTGATAACACAGTGCGGTGATCCCGCGGTGATGTTCCATGGAATAGATCTGTAGAGTTCACTCAGTGAGCCATGTTCTACTAGCCAGCTACTTTGTTGATGCTGTTTAAAACTTACGTGCTACTTTAAACTGTTGATATATGTGGAGAGTAGCATTTACAGTAGTGTTTATCGTGTAGTAAATAACTTATTAATCACTTTATTAATTTACACTGTTAAATTGGGGGTAATATACTAGACAATCGTTGTTGTGTTACTGCTAAAAATGCATTCATGAGGATGCATGCTATATCAAAAAATTCTAATAATTGCCCTCTCATTTATCTCAACCATTGACTTGTTTGATTTGTGGAATAAAGATTAGTGTGTCCAGTTTTTATCCCTTTTATTATGGGTTTATACTTTTTATACCTTTTATCAGGAGTAAATAAAAACAGAACCGTTTGTTTGTAGCTCATCTGATGTAGTCGGATGCAGCTTGTAGAATCGCATGATTGTCTGTCTGTCCGTCCGGCCGTCCGTGCGTGCGTCAACAGTTGCGCACAAATCTTAACCGCTCGACGTACGGTCACAATATTCGGGACGTCGGGGTGATCGTGAAAAGGACTCGGGATGACAAATTTAGGAGGCAAGGGTCAAAGGTCAAGATGTGTAAACGGAGGGGGAATATTTCCCCTTAACTTAAGGTATAGGAGGAAATACGGAATTGCGGCACAAATCTTAACGGCTTGACCTATGCTCGGTTATGTTTGGTGTATAGTGTGATGGGCAGGAAACCCATCACCAGTGCGAAATTGGAGGTCACAGGTCAAAGGGCAGGGGGGAAAGGTCAGATATCAGACATTTTCTGAGGACATGGCCTAATAGACAGAGTGAAAAACTTTTTTGTTTCAGTGCTGACCTACCATTTTTATCACTTTATTGAAAGGACCATGAAATGTGCTTTCCACTGACATGCGAAGAGTAAGTGTCTGATAACCTTTTGACCCTCAAGAGGAGGGTTAAAAATGGATTCCTGAACTGCTTCAATGATGTCACAGTGTTCTCACATTCATGGCACATCCATAATCTAGAAAGCCAATAAGCCTGGATAGCCAAACGGGTTTAGCACAGGATTACAGCTCAAAGGTCCTTGGATCAAATCCCATCAGATCTTTTATTAATTACCTGTTTTCTGTATGTTTCTATCTTTATCCATTTAAGTATTTTTTCCAATTAACGCAAATATTTACATGATTTATTTACAACAATTTAATAACAACGAATAATTTTTACAACAATAAATTATTAAAAAAAAAAATAGAGTTAGGGTTAAGGTTAGGGTCACAATGCACCATAACCCAGGAGTTTCAGGCACGCGATTTACATATCAACCAATGGGATTTGGGAGGTATGCAGAATGCAGAAGGTTGCTGAAATGATGTGTACGCAACTGCGTATCTGCATATCTGCGCCTAACAAAGGTGTCACTACGCACGACTTAAATGTTACGTTTATAACCGTAGCAACAGACCTCAGATGAGCCTAGACGCTCTGTAGCTCTTGTTAGCACAGCTGACGAAGTCAGATGCAGCTTGTAGAATCGCATGAATGTCTGTTCGTGCGTTCGTCCGTGTGTCAAGAGTTATGGTACAAATCTTGACCGCTCGACGTACGGTCTTGATATTTGGGACATAGGGGGGGATCGCGAAAAGGACTCAGGATGTCGAATTTGGGGGTCAAGCGTCAAAGGTCAAGGTGTGTCAATGTAGGGGGAATATTTCTCCCTTAACTTAATTAAGGTATAGGAGGAAATACGGAATTGCGGCACAAATCTCAACGGCTTGACCTACGCTCTTAATATTCGATGTATAGTGTGATGGGGAGGACCCCCCATCACCAGCGCAAAATTGGAGGTCACAGGTCAAAGGGCATTGGGGGAAAGGTCAAATATCAGACATTTTCTGAGGACATGGTCTAATGGACCGAGTGAAAAAAAATTTGTTTCAGCACTCACTAACCATTTTTATCACTTTATTGAAAGGACCATGAAATGTGCTTTCCGCTGACGTGCGAAGAGTAAGTGTCTGATAACCTGTTGACCCTCAAGTGGAGGATTAAACATGGATTTGTTGACTGTTAACAAAGGATTGAACTGCTTTTGCTATTAGAGCCCCCCAGGGGCGTGTACAGGATTTGTAGCAGGGGGGGTCTAACCGTAACCGAAACTTGTGAGCACGCGAAGGGGGGGGGTCTGGGGGCCCTCCCCTCGAAAAATTTTGAAATTAGAACCCCTCAGATATACGTTTTCTGGCGTCGCGCAGGGAGGGGAATCCGGACCCTTACCCCCCACCCCCCTATAACGGACTTGCCCCCTCCACTGCCCCTCTCCTCCCCACCCTCTCACCAATACCACCTACATACGACTGCGCGCCTCGTGCGGCAATATTCCATGATAAACTGTTAATATAGTGAAGTCATTAAAGTACACAGTGTATCTTCTATTACTGTATCTCATCGTCTAGCAAAAGCCTATCAGTATCAATAGATTTTAGATCTGTAATTAGTAGTAGATGAATATCCTAGATAAATGCTCTGGATCGCGAACGCGTGGCGGAGGCGCATCCTGAATTCGGTGCCCAAGGGATGAGATTATCCTTTCGGAGTTTATCAGAAGAATATCCGGCTACAGTACACGTCAGTTGAGCGCTGTCGCTCTGCGGCACTTGTTATTACAGGTAAAGATGGATTGCGCATTTTTTATATATATATTGTTAGATCTTATTATGGTCTATTATGATTCTGGGCAAGATATATATATATATAAGAAATATATGATGATAGAAATAGACCTCTTGCGCAGATTTTCGCAAACACTGGTTTTTGCATATCCCGTGCATTAACTGTCATCTCAAATATCATCAGCCTCACTAAGGATTTCACTATGGGATGACAGAAACCAAAATTAGAGAGAGAAACAAGAATACGTAGACTAGAAGTTAACATGTGGGGAAAGCATTAATTTAATTCAATTCAACATTTTATTTACACATAGCTTCATGATCGTTACAGAGCTGACAAAAAGCATCAAACTTGGCACAGTAGTTGTGAATAGAGTTTCAAAATCATAACTGAATTGTCTAATATGAGGTTTAAATAATTGTTTCAGCATATTCATCTCTGATGATACAAGATTTTTTACGGTTTTATGTGATACAGGTAGTGATAATGTACATTATGAAAACAACATATTTTCCCATTATAATGCAATACTACAATGCTAATCAAGAGCTAATAATTACATGATTTATCAACGAAAAAAACGGGAAAATAGGCTAAATTTCACGACAACATGTATTGCTACTATTGCCTGCAAGTCTATAATAATATACATGGTATTGCATTAAGCAAATCTATATGCTCTCTAAAAAATACCACTCGCTTTGTCATACGATTACTCGCCTCAGTG